TACATATCTACCTACCAACCTACCTACCTACCTACCTACCTACCTACCTACCTACCTACCTACCTACATACATACATACATACATACATACATACATACATACATACATACACACATACATACAGAGTATAGATATATACCGGTATTCCATTGCCCGCCCCTCCTCGCCTTCAAGGGCCAGGAGCCTCGGCACTCGCGCGAGGCCTGAGTGAAAGTCGCCAAGCCGTGTAGAACTCACGAAGGCACGGCCTGCACAGCGTCGGTCCGCTGGCCCGCCCTGCGCCGGGCGCTGGGCGACAGCGCCACCCTGACGGGTACTCAGCAGAGCCTCGAGCCTCGAGCCTAGAACCACGTGCCTCGAGCCTCAACCCTCGATCCTCGAACCGCCATCCTCGAGCCTCCTCGAATCTGCGCCACCCTGACGGGCACTCAGCAGACGGGGTCTTTGGCCGGTGCAGGACAGTGGCGCTTTCCTGCCGGTATTGTCAAAGGTGTCCCTGGTCCAATGTGTCCCCAGGCTTCCCAGGAGGCCCAGATGGACTTCAGAGCAACCCTCAAGGGGCTCAGAGGGCCCCAAAGGCTATAAATTAGCGCGAAAAGCTGGGGACACCTCGGGCCAGGACCGTTCTAGCAACATCCGAACCCTCCTACAACTTCACGCCACCCTCCCACGCGCTGCTGAATACCAGTTTCTGAGTGCCCGTCTCGGTCGCGCTGAGGGCGCAAGTCTGGCCCCACCCCAGGCCCCACCCCTCCACCGCCTCCACGAGGTGGAGTGGGCAAGACTCGGCACGACTCGGCTGGACCCAGCTCGACTCGGCAAGACACCACTCCTCCTCCTCCTCTTCCTCTTCCTCGTCCTCCTCCTCCTTCTCCGTCTTCGTCCCCCGTCTTCCTCCTCCTCCTCCTCCTCCTCCTTCTCCCCGTCTTCCTCCTCCTCCTCCTCCTCCTGCTCCTCCTCCTCCTCCTCATGCAGCCATTCGACGGCCCCTTGGGAGACCCGAACGCCACACCTGCTACGTCACGATGATCACGCGGTCCTCGCGCCCTCGCGCCGCCCCCTTGGAGAAGGGCAACCGCTCTGGCCCAGACCGCGACGCGCCAAGCGAGACTATCTGCGCGCTCATCCTTCAGATCCGACGTTGCGAAACATGTAACATCGCGAACAGATCACGACAACAACCCTAGACCGCAGCTTCCTCCGTCAATCGTTCTAGCCTGATCGATCTGTGAGGGTCCCCGGGGCCCGAAACAGGGCAACATCGCCCGTTGCGAACAAAATCGCAACGCCGAGATCACAGGGATTAGGGTCGCCTTGCTGGCCCTGGGCCGAAGAGGTCGGGCCAATAAGGCTGGGATCGGCGCTGGGCGCGCAGGTCGGCGTCGCTGAGGCTGGCGTTGCCCGTGCTGAGGGTAACCTTGCTGGTCCCGAGGGTGGCCCTCGCGACCATCTTCGCGCACCAATAGGGGAACGAACAATGACCTAAACATAAAAACTCGGAGCTCCGCGCGGACTCCTCGGGTCCGCGCGCCAGGGAGGGCGGTCCAGCGCCGACCCGAGAAGTCCGCGCGGACCTCCGAGTTGTTATGCTTTTGTCATTTTTCGTTCCCCTACTGCTGGCCCTGGGCCGAAGGGTCGGGGGCGCGCAAACATGGATTAGCGATCCATGGATTTGGCGCGCAGTCGCCACATCCATGGGTCGGGGGGGGGGGGGCCTCCCCAAAATGCGGCAGGTGCCGCCTCGCGGATTTTCCATGGAAACGGGACCCGTCGCTAATCCACGCCCCCTTAATCCATGTTTGTTTCATAACGCCGACCCTCAGAAGTCTAGACTCATTCCCCTGGACCGGTTTTCCATCCTGAGTCGTTTTGTTGACGGCCCCAAGGGCTGGTAAGGGCGTCCAGAGGCCGAAAATTAGGAAAAAACCTCCCGTCATGATTTTTGGGGCATCATCATCGTCTTCATCCATCGTCGCCGTCATATGTTCTGGCGTTTGGCCACCACTCTGTGCTTCGAGTGCTTCGAGTGGCGTTTGGTCACGCTTCTGTGCTTCGAGTGCCTCGTGTGGCGTCTGGTCACACTTCTTTTCCTGCCAACGCGTCCACCTGGGCGCAAGGCTTCTGACTGACTGACATGATTTTTTCGTTACCCGAGGGGGTCTGGGGGAGTCGGCCCCGGGCTGGGATCGGCGCCGGCGCGCAGCTCGGCGTCCCCCCGCGGGGCGTTCTGCGGCGGGCGGCCCCGGGCACGCATGCAGGCTGGCAGGCGCGCACTCGCGCGGGCGGCGGGCACGGGGGCCGCCAGGGAGGCCCAGGGGGCCAGGCGCGGGAAGGGGGGGGGGGGAGGGCAATCGGGAGGGGAAGGAAGGGAGGGGGAGGAGGGGAGGGGGAGGGGAGGAAGGCGCTGGCCGCGTGGGCGCTCCTTCTCCTGGAACAAGCGCTTAAGCCCCTACGGCTTGGAGCTCAACCCGACCAAGACTTTGGTGTGGGTCCCAGCTAGCCCAGCGGGGCTGCCAGACGGGTTGCGCCCTCGCTACGTGGCGACGCTGCCAGTGCTGGGCGCGAACTTACGGGCGCGTGGGAACCAGGACACCCCTTTCCTGCCAGGCCACCAGGAAGGTGGACTCGGCGCAGCCACGGACAGGCTCGACTCCCTCTGGCGGGCTCTCCTGCCGCTCGCCGAGCGCGGCTTGCGGAGGCAAGCAGCGGGGAGCCTGTTCAGCACCTACTCCGGAGCCGCTAGCCAGCACGCCTTGCGGGCCACGCTGGCCACGGGCCCAGAGACGCAGCGCTACGACAACGCGCTGGCCAGCTGCTGGGAAGACCTGGCAGGCAGGGACCTCGACCCGCTGAACCGGGAAGTCCTCGGCCTGCCGCGCAAGGAGGGCGGGGTCGGAGAACAGTGGGCCTCCACCCGCTGAGCAGCTGCCTTCTGGGCCGGCCGGGCATTCGCCTTGGAGTGGGTTGCGAGGGACGCGGGCGCGACCGCCAGCGAGCTGCTCGAGGCGGTGCCTGACCTGGAACAGACGCTCGCCAGGGTGCGCGCAGAGCTACGGAGCCGCGGAGCCGACCCAGCCCCTAGAGCCTCGCTCCTGGAAGCCCTCCAGAACCCGCTCAAGCAGAGCAAACGTGTGAAACTCGTGCAAAAGAACACCCGCGCGGCCGTGTGGCAGCGCTTGCCGGTTCACGAGAGAGCTCTGCTGCTGGGCGCTAGAGGCCCCAGCGCGGCGGCGTACCCGAGCGACCCGGCGTGCGCCATGGAAGACGAGCACTGGTCGTCAGCACTACGAGTGCGGTGGGGCTGGTGCGGCCGCCACTGCCTGCTTAGCTCCGCTGGACGACAGGGGGCGCCCACGCCGCCATCTGCACCCAGGGGGGCGAAGTGGCGGTACGCCACGGGACGCCGAGGCAGGCCTCGTGAAGCGGTGGCTCCACCACGACCCTTTGCAGGAGCAAAGGGTGCCCACGTGGGACCGCCAGCGCGAGGGGCGGCCAGCGGACCCGCCGGGCGCCGACCTCCAGGAGCGCACCATCCTCGACATCGACTACTTCGAAGGGGCGTGGCGGCACTGGATCGATGTGACCGTGCGACACCCAGCGGCGGAGCACGTCGTCGGCTGGGCCGACCGCAGGCCTGGCGAGGCAGCGCGCGCAGCCGAGCGCGAGAAGCACGCGCGCTACCCTGGCGACCGCCTCACACCCTTCGTGGTGGAAGCGCCAGGCCGCCTCGGGGGCGAGGCCCGCCAGTGGTTGGTTCGCCAGGCCCAGACGTGCCCTGACGACCAGCAGAGCGCGGAGCTGATCCGCGCTTACAAGGTGTTCAGCTGCGTCGGCCAGACGCAGCTGGCCCTCCAACGCCGCAGAGACGCTGGCCTACGCTAAGCCCGTCGCCGCCCTCTCTTCCTTCCCCCTCCCTCCCCCAGGCAACGCTGCTTTACTCAGCATTCCTACATGTTTCTTTGCAGTCAGTCCCCTCTCCTCCCCCTCTCCTCCCCGCTCCTTGCCTTGGCGGGCGCCCGCGCGCGCCTAAGGAAGGGGTCGGGTGGCTCACACCCCTCCGCCGCGCGCCCGCCTCCTCCCTCTTCCTGTTCCGCCCTTCTCCCTCCTCCCCTCCCCCCCCCCGCCTCCTAATAGTTGTCGCCTCAAACGTGTGTTGCTGTCGCCTGCGTTCCCAGTGTATTTTTGGGGAAGGGGGGCCCTGTCGTGTCCCTCGGTGTCCCGCCTCAGCGCCCTGTCTGACAGGCAGATCCGCCTCGATTTTTTCTTTGCGTAGCCTCCCGCCAGCGCGTTGTGGATTTCCCTCACACGCCTGGCCCCAGTGGACACCCATCACAAAGTGAGGTGGGTGCTGGGGCCGCGGGTTAACGAGGGGAGGAGGGGAGGAGGGGCAGGGGAGGAACGTGGCGGGGAGGGGGAGGAAGGGGGGGGGGAGGAGGAAGGGAGGGGAGCAGGAGGCAGGGGAGGAGGGGAGCGGGAGGAGGGGAGGGAGAGGAGGGGAGGGGAAGGAGGGGAACGACGACGACGACGACGACGACGACGACGACGACGACGACGACGACGACGACGACGACGACGAGCGCGCACTGTCGGTCCGACGACCCGGCCCCACGAGGGCATCGCGGGCGGGCCCGGGTCCAGAAGAGTCCGGCCGCGGGAGGGAGGGCGGGGAGCCTGCGCGGACAGTGCACTGGAGACGGAGAAGGAGGGGGAACAAGGGGAGTCACCCCCATAGCATGCTAAAGCAAAGAGGGAGAGGGGAAAGAGCGGGGGGGATGAAGAGGAGGAAGGGGGAAAGGTGGAGGGGGGCTGTGAACATGAACAAGGGACAAGGGACAAGGGTAAGGGAGGGAAGGGGAGGGGAAGGGGAAAGGGGGGGTGAAGGGAGGGGGGGGAAAGGGGAAGAGTTGTGAACATGAACAAGGGAAAAGGGGAAGGGGTGGGGGAAGGAGGAAGGGGAGGAAGGGGAGGGGAGGGGGGGAAAGGGGGGGGGGGAGGGGGAGAGGAGGGGGAGGAGGGGAAGGGGAAAAGGATGAGAAAAACAGCGCACACGCGCACGCTGCCCGTATGAGCGACTCCTCACCATACGCTCGATGGGGGTTCCGCAGGTCGGTCGATCTGGCGAACAGCCGGCATCACCGTCGGTGCGTGTCAGACACTCCCGTCGGTCCTCGAGGAACACGACGCACGGAAGGCATCAGATCCTGCGCACTGCCTTTGAAGTGTCGCAGAATCCACATCGGCAACGAAGGAAAAAGGGTCTCACGCACGAGCTTGCGCGACAGCTCTTCTCGCGTGTCGAGCCAAAGGTACGCAATGGCCTACGCACTTACGACGAGCAGCAGCGACCTTGTAAGCCGGCTGCTTGCGCAGACCGCCAGCGCGGCCAATCCCGCGGGAGAGAAGGCGCATGCGCGCGACCTCACGCGCAGAGCTGAGCAGCAGTATCCGCGCGTTCGACGCCTTGTTCCTGCGTCGCTCAGATAAGATGTAGGTCCTCATTTCTTCCCCTTGACAGGCTTGAGGACCTGGGCATCAGAAAGAAGGTTAAAGAGGTCAGGGTCGGAGGGACAGAGGGGGAAAAGCAGGGTAGGGTAGCAGATTGCTGGGGAGGAGGGAGAGGCGGAAGGGATGGAGGGGAGAAACGAAGAGAGGAAGGGGGTGAAAGAGGGGTGCGCGAAAAATGGTCGAGTTGTGAAGCAAAGCACTCCTGGATGAGTGCGTGAAAGGCTCTCGGCTCCGCCATATTACAAGATTGCCCCACGAATCCTGAAGGCCCTCAAGCCCTGCTCGATGGTGGGCAGTGCGAGTCTTCGCTGACATGGGAACAACCAAGAAAAAATCAGCATCCCCGTCTCAAGTCACTCTGAGTGGGCCACACGTTGCCGGCACCGCCTCGGGCAAGCGGGAAGAAGATGTACGAGGCAAGCAAAGCACATCTGATGCTCCGAAAGTTTCCGAGCTTGCTGCGGGAACTGTCGGTGGTGCTCAAAAGGATGGCTGTGGCAAACCACCTCGTGGGCAAGGCCGTCAGTTGTGGTCCACGCTCGTTCCCAAGTGGAAGCTCAGCAGCACGCGCTCCTCTTCCTCCCACTGCTCCTCCTGCTCTTCACGCCTCTTGACTGTCCACTTATCATTATATACTGTTCCTCCAGTTCGTCGCCGTCGATATGGATATATTCCTATGGTCATGGCTAAACACATTTTGACATCACAACCCTCACTGCTTCCTTTGAGATCTGTCCGCACACCCCCTTCACCTCTGCTTCCCCATCTCATTCTGCCCACCGGAGAGAACCTGGAAGGAACACATTAGGCTCTCGTCTATGCTCATCATGGCACCCGAGTTATCGAACTCGCCGCCTTACGCAGACCGAGGGGAAATCTGAATATGCTGGCAGGTATGGAGGGCGCCTCGGAGAGAAAGACTGGAAGCCGATAAGTTGCAAGGAGCGCGAACACCTGAGCTACTCAAGATGGCAGAACGCACGCCAGCCATAGAGATCAGGCGAAGCTTGGCAGGTGATCCAGATTCAGAAGTTGGCAAGACAGACGACGGTGGATAATTAGAAGTGCAAGCGATTGCGGTTCGATTGAAAAGAGCAGCGGGGCGAGGCCGAGCGGCTACATGAGCTGTTCGCTTTCAATGCTTTAATGCCGTAAGGATGCGAGCTGAGGATGCAATCCCCTTGGACGCCCATGTCAAGGCTTTTCGAGCGGGGCTGGCCATCGAAAGTGGGTAAGGATGGACCGAAGAGGCAAGGATGCAAGGGTGCCCTTGGGGAGGTTACCCATCCTGATCATCGATTTCGACTGTGCTCTGGACGGGCTCTTTAGGAGCGAGAGACTGCCGTGTAAGCATGCACAAGTGAAGTATCCACCACTATTGGCAGGTTGGGGCACGATATAACCCCCAGGGTTGGCTGGCAGGACATTTGCAATTGTCAAGGGGCGCCGTATGGGTGTTCTGGACACACCAAGACGCCTCCAGGAAAAACCCAAAGACGATCCCAAAACCATCCCATAATACTTACGGACGGCGCCAACCTGTTTACAAACGCTCCGAGAGGGCTTGCGAGCGCCAGCTTAGCCCCAGTGCGCAGACATCTCGAAAGGGCCTCCGCGAAGCTCTCGGAATCACAGGCAGAAAGAGAATTTGGCCCCCAGCCCTAGAGGATTTCCAGCATAGCTGGGGCCAGTCGCGGAGGTCATAGAGGATGCAAGGTAAGGATGCGAGGCCGCTATGGCGTCCGAACTGCGACAATGGGAATGCGAAGTTGGCGAAGGATGAGCCGAAAAGGCAAGGATAGGATGCAGGCTATCTGTGGCACAACGCCGCATCCACACTGGGGGGCCGTGCATTTTTGCATACTTGTGGCATCCCCTACCTCCGGGAGCCAAAACAGTACCAGTGACAACGCCGCGGTGGGGAACCCATCAGCGTGCCACTGTTGCAGAGAAGACCAGGCCGTCGCCCCAAAGGTTTCTGGCAGGCCGCCTACCCAGCCCTGCCCAGCGCTGCCCAGCCCTGCCCCAGACGGCAACCCAAGCAGCACAGGCCGCTCCTGGGCCGGCATCAAGACGGCCCACTGGGCCGTCCTGGGGCCAGGCCAACACCCAGAACACCACCCACTGGCCCAAAGAGCCCCTGGCTCGGGCCATGGGCGAGACGGCCCCGAGAGCGCCCAAGAGCGTCCAAGAACAGCTACGTGACGGCCCACGTCCCTAACCGACCCCCCCACACGGCACCAAGGCACACCAAAAACACGTCAAAAGTCCCCACACGATGAGAAGACATTTTTAAACAGCCCCCTAACGCCCACTGGGGCCTCAAGATGCCCGCAGAACCTTCGAGATGCCCCAGAATCTCCGAAACCATCAAAGAACCCTCCCTGCAGCATTTCCCCAAGGGCCTCTCAATTCCGAAAACCCTCGTCGGGACAGCTCCCTCGAATGAAAGTGGTGCGGAGAGGGAACGGTGTGGGGAGATGTCACAGGCGGCTGGATATTGTACGGGAGGCGTCGAGAGGGTATCACGGAGGCGAGACACAACAATTGTACTGGGTAGGTACGATGCTCTGGGGTACCAGATGACATGACTGCGGAGAACACAAATACGTACAGCCATGTTTGCATGCCCACCAGCTGGGCGCTAACATCCCCGAGAGGCAGCTGCGCAGAACGGACTCTAAGGCGGCGGCAGTAATTGGGCGCCGAAAACAAGGTAATCAGCTTCCTCGCAGAAACACAATCAGACACTCCATCATCCACCGACCCCCTCTGCTCCCAGAAGAGCACAGGGACACCACGACAGGCAAACAAATCCCATCGCCTCTTGAGTTAAAGTCATTGCACTTGTTCGGAAACTCCGCAAACTCAAGCCAACTGTGGGGACGGAGCTGGGCGAAGGGTCGCATGGTACC